TGCATTTTGAGCATTTCTTAACATTTTTAGAAGTTGTCCCACAAGTAGAACATGATTCTTGATCAATAAAACTAAAATATTTAATTAAAAAGATAATCATTGTTTTTATCAAATGCTCTTAATAATATTAAAATAAATAATTTATTAATATTGTTTTATCATTATAAACTTACCCTCTGTTTCCTTGTATGGCAGCAATCACTTGTGTTAGTGTGGTAGGTTGATCTCCCTATTATCACAATGAAAAATACAATTATTATAAAATAAAGTGCACATTACGAAACAGCTCTGAAGTGGCTGCTATAAATGCTTAATAAACCATGACATTAATTAATATTTTGACAATGTCACAATTTCATTCATTGAGCATCCACATGTTAAAATAGGAGTGTTTTATTTTGGCAAATAACCAAAATATATTATGCTAGAATATTTCATCAGACACAATATCATCATAGTTACTGTACTTTTTATTGACTTACTAGGGATGTGTCAGCAACCACTTGGACTAACTGTTTAAATAAAACTGAATGGACGTGTGGATATGATTTAATGCACGATCTGAGATACTTCTCAACTTCTAGTGATTTACAATCTTCAGTTTGTTGTAGCAATCTGCAAGAAAGAAAGTAATTATTCATAAGACACCTTGTAGTATAACAGTTTAGTTGCAACTAAAAAATTCATGAAAATTACATTTAATTTTGATTGAAAATACATGTACATGTACATGTAGCTAAGTTATTCATCATAATATGCATCAGAAAATGTAATAAAAACTTTGGGTGAGTTTGAACCCATCTTTTGGAAAAAAAGCATGGACTATAGCCTAGGGTATTTTTCAGAATTTTGGCATTTTCTTAAAATGGCCGTAACTTGAAAAATTGAAGTCGGAATCACCTCAAACTTTCTACACAGCATTAGGACATCAATATCTATCAGAAAATGTAATAAAAATTTGGGGTGATTTCGGAGCCATTTTTTGGAAAAAACCATGGGCTATAGCCTTGGGTATTTTTCAGAATTTTTGGCATTTTCTTAAAATGGCCGTAACTTGAAAAATTGAAGTCGGAATCACCTCAAACTTTCTACACAGCATTAGGACATCAATATCTATCAGAAAATGTAATAAAAATTTGGGGTGATTTCGGAGCCATTTTTTGGAAAAAACCATGGGCTATAGCCTTGGGTATTTTTCAAAATTTTGGCATTTTCTTAAAATGGCCGTAACTTGAAAAATTAAAGTCGGAATCAGCTCAAACTTTCTACACAGCATTAGGACATCAATATCTATCAGAAAATGTAATAAAAATTTGGGGTGATTTCGGAGCCATTTTTTAGAAAAACCATGGGCTATAGCCTTGGGTATTTTTCAGAATTTTGACACTTTTTTAAAATGGCCGTAACTTGAAAAATTGAAGTTGGAATCAGCTCAAACTTTCTACACAGCATGAGGACATCAATATGTATCAGAAAATTTAATAAAAATTTGGGGTAAT